AAAACAGTTAAAAGTTATCAGTTTAATATCAGTGTCATCAGTTCAGTTCAGTCACTCAGTCATGTCCGACTCTTTGCAACCTCATGGACTGAAGCACACCAGGCTTCCCTGTCCATCACCAACTCCCGGAGCTTGCTCAAACTCATGTCCATCAAGTCGGTATTGCCATCCCACCATCTCATCCTCTGTTGTCCCCTTCTCCTCCCGCCCTCAATCCTTCCCAGCATCAGGGTCTTTTCAAATGAGTCAGCTCTTCGCATCAGGTGGCCAAAGTATTGGAGTTTCAGCTTCAGCATCAGTCCTTCCAATGAATATTGAGGACTGATTTCGTTTAGGATGGACTGGTTGGATCTCCTTGCTGTCCAAAGGAATCTCAAGAGTTTTCTTCAACACCGTGGTTCAAAAGCATGAATTCTTTGATGCTCAGCTTTCTTCACAGTCCAACCCTCACATCCATACATGATTACTGGAAAAACCATAGCCTTGACTAGATGGACCTTTGTTGGCAAAGCAGTGTCTCTGCTTTTTAATATGCTATCTAGGTTGGGAATACCTTTTCTTCTAAGGAGCAAGCATCTTATAATTTCATGGCAGCAGTCACCATCTGCAGTGATTTTGGAGCCCCAAAAAGGAAATTATCTCACTGTTTGCATCATTTCCCCATCTATTTACCATGAGTGATGGGACTAGATGCCATGATCTTAGTTTTTTGAATGTTGAGTTTTAAGCCAACTTTTTTCACTCTCCTTTTTCACTTTCATCAAGAGGCTCTTTAGTTCTTCGCTTTCTGCCATAAGGGTGGTGTCATCTGTGTGTTTGAAGTTATTGGTATTTCTCCTGGCTATCTTGATTCTAGCTTGTGCTTTATCCAGCCCAGCATTTTGCATGATGTGCTCTGCATATAAGTTAAATAAGCAGGGTGACAATATATAGCCTTGACATACTCCTTTCCCTATTTGGAACCAGTTGTTATTTCATGTCCAGTTCTAACTGTTGCTTCTTGACCTGCATACAGATTTCTCAGGTGGCAGGTAAGATGGTCTGGTATTCCCATTTCTTGAAGAATTTTCTATATTTTGTTGTAATCCACACAGTCAAAGGCTTTGATGTAGTCAATAAAGCAGAAGTAAATGTTTTTCTGGAACTCTGTTGCTTTTTTGATGAGCTAACAGATGTTGGGAATTTGATCTCTGGTTCCTCTGCCTTTTCTAAATCCAGTTTGAACATCTGAAAATTCACGATTCATGTACTCTGAAGCCTGGCTTGGAGAATTTTGAGCATTTTTAACTTGTGAGATGAGTACAATTGTGTGGTAGGCTGAACATTCTTTAATGGCCTTGCCTTTCTTGGGGATTGTAATGAAAACTGACCTTTTCCAGTCCTGTGGCCGCTGCTGAGTTTTCCAAATTTGCTGGCATATTGAGTACAGCACTTTAACAGCATCATCTTTTAGGATTTGAAACACTCAACTGGAATTCCATCACCTCTATTAGCTTTGTTCGTGGTGATGCTTCCTAAGGCCCACTTGACGTCCCATTTCAGGATGTCTGTCTGGTGTGAGTGATCACACCATCATGATTATCTGGGTCATGAAGATCATTTTTGTATAGTTATTCTGTGTTTTCTTGCCACCTCTTCTTAATATCTCTGCTTCTGTTAGATACATACTGTTTCTGTACTTTATTGTGCCCATCTTTGCATGACATATTCCTTTGGCAGCTCTAATTTTCTTGAAGAGATCTCTGGTCTTTCCCATTCTGTTGTTTTCCTCTGTTTCTTTGCATTGATCACTGAGAAAGGCTTTCTTTTCACTCCTTGCTTTTCTTTGGAACTCTGCATTCAGATGGGTGTATCTTTGCTTTTCTTCTTTGCCTTTAGTTTCTTTCTCTTCTTTTCTCAGCTATTTGTAAGGCCTCCTCAGACAATCATTTTGCCTTTTTGCATTTGTTTTTCTTGGGGATGTTTTTGATCACTGCCTCCTGTACAGTCTCACGAACCTCCATTCATAGTTCTTCAGGCACTCTGTCTGTCAGATCTAATCCCTTGAATCTATTTGTCACTTCCACTGTATATTTGTATGGGATTTGATTTAGGTCATACCTAAATGAATGGTCTAGTGGTTTTCCCTACTTTCTTCAATTTAAGTCTGAATTTGGCAATAAGGAGCTCATGATCTGAGCCATAGTCAGCTCCTGGTCTTTTTTTTTTTTTTTGCTGACTGTATAGAGCTGCTTTAGATGTTACAAATAGTAAATCAGGTAATTCCATAATGGGCTAAATTATTTCTCACTGATTGATGAATTCCAAGTATTTGGAAGTTCATTCTCTTGATTGTTAAATATCTGTCATCATTATGAATGACATGTTAAATTCAGTTAGGAAGTTTGCATTTAAGATAAAATTATTCATTTTATGGTGATAATACAAGTATATATTTTGATGAGGCGCATTGCTATGGTAAAAGCAAATTACTTATAGACATAATTCTTGATTTTGCCCAGACAAGCTGGAATATTTTACTAACCAAAATAGAATTTGAAACTATGGTCATCAATTGAAAAATGTTTATATCATGCATAAATACAGAGTGACTGAATTATAAAATATTTTGAACCTTTAGAAAAACTACTTTGTAAATCAGCCAAGTGTACTGCAGTGGTTTTGACTGTTTTGTGAGGGAATCCTGTAAATTTTGTGCAGTGTAAGTTAGAAATAAAGAATCAAGGTGTTCAACAAATGGGAATATCTGGAATTTGAGTATATGAAGTAAGACAAGGTTTTTTTTTTTTTTATTTACTTACGGCTGCACTGGGTCTTTATTGCTACGCGTGGGCTTTCTCTCGTTGAGATGAGCGAGGACGTTTCTCCAGTTGTAATATACAGGCTTCTCAGTGCAGTGGCTTCTCTTGGTGGCGGTGCGCAGGTTCTCGGCACTCAGACTGCATTAGCTGAAGTGTGTGGGCTTAGTGATTGCGGGTTGCTGACTCTAGGGCACGTGGCCTTCAGGAGTTGGGCCCGTGGGCTCTAGGGTGTGCACTTTCAGTAGTTGTGGCGCACAGGCTTAGTTCCTCCACAGCGTGTGGGATCTCAGATCAGGAGTCTGACCCATGTTCCCTGCATTGGGAGGCAGATTCTTACCCACTTCGCCACTGGGGAAGTCCTATGGTAAATTGTTAATGTATTTTTAATACACACAGTGTTTATAACATGAACTTAGCTTGTAATATGTGTATTTTATATATTTATCAGTAGTGCAAAGGGGAACAGGGGAGAAGTTTATCATACCCATAATCTCCATCAGCCCTCATGTTGATAGAAACAATTAGTACTTGTATCAATCTTATGTCAGTTGCTGTTAAAATATAGTTTCAGCCCTATCAAATTGCTACCTTAAGCCTTTTCTTTAAGGAAATTCTAGAGCTAACATTCTCTGGTTATATGTTATTTACATTTAGATAGGAGAATGTCTGGATGTATATGTGCTAAAATCGTAACAATTGGTTTTTCCTGGTTTTTTTGGTTTATTTTTTCTGTTTGCTAGTTTGTGTTTTGTTTTTCTCTACAGTAAACAAATTGTACTAGTGGTAAAGAAATAAATAAAATTAATTAGTTTCTTTAAAATCCATGTACAAAAGAAACCCCCCAAACTGAAAAGGAATAGTGACATTCTTTCAGCTATTTGATTTCCTTGGGAAAGGCAAAATATCAAACCAAAGGAAAACCATTATGCTTTTGTGTCAGTTGTTAATATGTAGAAGACCCACTTTGAAAGTGTAGTATGAGGTTGCTCTTAGGATCTGCAATTATGTTTTATCCTTATGATTCTCTTCAATTGAATACAGTTACCCCCTCCTGTTTAAGTTCAGTACTGGGGTTGCTGAACTGAAGTGAAAAATTATTTTAAAATTACATTGAAGTATGCATGATAAGCCAATTAATCCTACTCAAGAAAAAGCTTTGAGTTTCTGATTATTGGAATTTAAGATGTTGTCATAGTTCTCTTCCTTCCCATTAGGCTAAAAGATCCCACCATGCAGATAACCAGCTCTGATTACAGTGAGAAATTTTACTTGCTTCCATTGCAGTCTCTTCAGTCTCTTTTAATAAAACTCGTTTTATCAGCTGCTAAAGTGACCAGTAACAAACAGTGATTAATTCATCATTGTGAGAACATATATGGACCTGGAAGATATTATGATTAGTGAAATAAGGCAGAGAAAGACAAATACTGTATGTTTTCACTTATAGGTAGAATATAAAATAAAACAAATGAACAAGTATAACAACATAAAAACAGACACTGAGGATACAGATAAACTAGTGGTCACCAGTGGGGAGAAGTGTGAGAGGAGAGCCAAAATAGATGAAGGGAATTAGTAGGTACAAACAACTTACAGTAAGTGGCAAGGATGTAATGTACAGCACAGGGATTATAGCTTGCTAATGTCACTATAATTCTGGGCACGTGACCTGTAAATTCTCTTTTGTTACACAATTTATGCATGATTTAGGTACTAATTCAGTTTATATAATTATGTTAATTGATAACAGTATTATTTTGCAATTTGGATAATTTCTTCATGTCATTCTGTGATACAGTTAATGGGTTAACTATTGAGCAGGTTTGTTTTTTTTTTTTAATATAAATTTTGGGGCAGCTGCCTTTGGTTTTAGATTGCTGACTTTCAGTTGAGGTTATTCTCTCCAAAACCATCTTAATTTTGTTTTTTATTCAGTGGCTATTATGCATGATTCTTTGGGTAAATGTATTTTTTTTCAGAGCTCTTCATAAAGGTACTTTCTGCAAGACCAAGAATTATATGTATAACATAGAGTTTATAAAATTGGAGAAAAAGTTATTTCTTGGCCCAAGTCAAGAGTAAATCTGATTTAAATGCATGTGTTAATCTAACACACATGCTTTTGGAACTAGGAACTAGATAAACACCTTCTATGTTTTGTGAGCTTTTAATGTAGCTATGCCTGTTTTTCTTTTATAGGAAAGTTAAAGGAGGAAATATTGATGTACATCCATCTGAAAAAGCACTTATTGTTCAATATGAAGTGGAAGCTACCATTCTTGGAGAAACGGGAGATCCCATGTTGGGAGAACGAAAGGAATGCCAAAAAATGTAAGTTTTCTTCACTTGTGCATATTTGAAAGTAGTAAACCTTATACGTAGTTTGTAGAAATCTGATATTATTTAAATTTGTGTAGATAATGAATGACTATGGCATTCTTCTCAGCCTACATTATCTTAGTGAAGCAGACTATATTAAACTATAAATACAGAGTATATTCCAGAGAAAATCATGTTTATGAACTTAATTGGAACCTAATGAAAAATGCCTGTTCTTATTAATCCCATTTAGTAAATGTATATAATAGAATATGACTTGTGAAATCAATTATAAGAGATAGGTTTATATTAGACATTTTAGCCTAATTTAGCAAGTTTATATTTTAGCTGATACCATATTGTTCTTTCTTCCCTGAAATTACAGAAAGTTATATGAATTCTAGAATTCAGAAATGGGACATGTACCTTGAATTCATCCCTTAAAAATCCAGCCCTCTGAAAGATGTTAATAGTAGGACAAGTGTTTTCTGACTCAGTGAATTGACCTTAGATCTCCCAGTATTCTTCACACTTTCCTTTCTGCTTTTGTAGAACTTTCAGGAGTCCCTTGGGAACTGACCTTTTTCATTTGTCTTCAATTGTGCTGGCAATGATCTTGCACTCCTGCCATAGTTTTGTGGAAATAGAAAGGGTCTGAGATCACCTAATATTATTTCCCAACTTTCTTCCCTGCAGAAAAATATTGGACTTGGGAATTAATTAAAAAGTTAGTATGTTTTGGTATATTCAGTGATTAAGTACATAGTGTGGAATATAATGTAGTTAAGTATAGTCAGGATACTAGGAGTGCATGTGATATTATTTAGCTCACTGAGAAGCACTGCAGTTTAAATGCATAGCAGTGGTCCTCAACTGGTTAGAATTTTTTTCCTCAGGGGACATTTTGGTTGTCATACTGGAAGGTGCTATTGTTATCTAGTGGATAGAGGCTGAGGTGCTGCTAAGCATCTGCTATGCATAAAATAGCCACCTACTAAGAAAAAACTATTTGACCCCAAACTTTAATTGTGCTTCAGTTAAGAAACTTTATTGCACAGCAACTTGAAAAGAGAAGCTACCTACTGTCTTAAGATCTCTAGTCTTTCTTCTTATTTGGGTTAGGACACTAATATTCATAGATAATTCTTTAAAAATAAACGAGTCCTGAGATAATCCACTAGACTGAAGAGGTACACATATGTATACACACATACTTAATGCTGTAGATTTTAACTCACATGCTCAGTTTTTTGTATTCTCTCACACTGTCTTCCATTTGTGTGTTTGCTGCCTAAATTTTATGCATATTGAAAAAATGTGAAATCTCTTGATATTTTTATTCATTTGATTTCCAAAGAAAAGCTAGCAGATTAGGGGTCTTTGCCTTTAGAACCTCATGCATCCACATTTCATAAGTTAAATTTAGATTTTAGTTTTTTAGTAGTGTAGTAGTTTTAGAAAAAGCAGAGGAACCAGAGATCAAATTGCCAACATCTGTTGGATCATTGAAAAAGCAAGAGAGTTCCAGAAAAACATCTATTTCTGCTTTATTAACTATGCCAAAGCCTTTGACTATGTGGATCACAGTAAACTGTGGACAATTCTGAAAGAGATCGGCATACCAGACCACCTGACCTGCCTCTTGAGAAACCTGTATGCAGGTCAGAAAGCAACAGTTTGAACTTGACATGGAACAACAGGCTGGTTCCAAATAGGAAAAGGAGTATGTCAAGGCTGTATATTGTCACCCTGCTTATTTAACTTATATGCAGAGTACAACATGAGAAAGGCTGGGCTGGAAGAAGCACAAGCTGGAATCAAGATTGCTAGGAGAAGGGATTGGATGGGGAGGGAGACAGGAGGGGCGATCGGGATGGGGAAACACATGTAAATCCATGGCTGATTCATGTCAATGTGTGGCAAAAACCACTACAATATTGTAAAGTAATTAGCCTCCAACTAATAAAAATAAATTTAAAAAAAAATTGCCAGGAGAAATATCAATAACCTCAGATATGCAGATGACACCACCCTTATAGCAGAAAGTGAAGAGGAACTAGAAAGCCTCTTGATGAATGTGAAAGAAGAGAGTGAAAAAGTTGGCTTAAAGCTCAACATTCAGAAAACAGATCATGGCATCTGGTCCCATCACTTCATGGGAAGTAGATGGGGAAACAGTGGAAACAGTGTCAGACTGGTTTTTTTGGGGGGGGGCTCCAAAATCACTGCAGATGGTGATTGCAGCCATGAAATTAAAAGACGCTTACTCCTTGGAAGGAAAGTTATGACCAACCTAGATAGCATATTAAAAAGCAGACATATTACTTTGCCAACAAAGGTCTAACTAGTCAAGGCTATGGTTTTTCCAGTGGTCATGTATAGATGTGAGAGGGACTGTGAAGAAAGCTGAGCGCTGAAGAATTGATGCTTTTGAACTGTGGTGTTGGAGAAGACTCTTTGAGAGTCCCTTGGACTGCAAGGAGATCCAACCAGTCTGTCCTGAAGGAGATCAGTCCTGGGTGTTCATTGGAAGGACTGATGCTGAAGCTGAAACTCTAGTACTTTGGCCACCTTATGCAAAGAGTTGATTCAATGGAAAAGACCCTGATGCTGGGAGGGATTGGGGACAGGAGGAGAAGGGGACGACAGAGGATGAGATGGCTGGATGGCATCACCAACTCGATGGGCATGAGTTTGAGTAAACTCCAGGAGTTGGTGATGGACAGAGAGGCCTGGCACGCTGCAATTCATACGGTCACAAAGAGTCGGACACAATTGAGCGACTGACCTGACTGAACTGAGTGTAGTAGTAGTCTTATTCAACCAGTGAGAATTGGTTGTTGTTATTTGGAATGAGAATAAGTGAGAATGTTTGAAATTCTCGGCAGTGATGAAAGCCTGAGCGGCTGACCCTGCTTGCGGGCTCTGGTGACCCACGGCGGCCGGCCTGTGTGCGTCCCAGGAGCAGCAGCCCTGGGGTCCAGCGGGAGTCGCGGGAAGAGCCCAGGCAGGCACCGAGGTCCTCATGACTTAGCCTCTGGAATCCTCCACACAGTCTCTCCGCTGTCCTGGAGACAGGCCGTACAGCAGATGAAGCGCGTCGAGACAGATCTTGTTTGAACTATTTATTAGAAACGTTTTTAGGATCACGTTTATAAATAAACACGAGCAGCGTCCAAAAAAAAAAAAAAAAAGAAAATCTGTAGGCTCTCAAGACAAGGGATATATTCACTAGAGAGTCAGCCACCTGGAAAGAGTTACTATAGACTGACTATAGACTGTTTATAGTTCCTTAAACATCAGTAAGGAAAAAAACCTCTGTAACCCAACTTTGTGATAGTCATCCTTGGTCACTCAAGATTTGGAGAGGAGTCATATCGTGAGACCAAAAGGAGAATATGGTTTGTTAATAGTTCAAGAGGATTTATCAATGATGGTGGCTAGGGTGAGGATTTTGAGGGAGAAACTCAAATAGATTGAGATAGATGTGAAATTAAGTCATCATTAAATTTCATTGAATATAGTGGCAGTCAGTGCTATGATTCAGCTCCAAAAGATGTATTTCGTTTTCCCTTATTGGATAAAGGAATATATAAGCCCACCTTCAACAGAATCCCTGTTTTCTGAATATTTCTGAGAAACCTACGGTTAGGATCTGAAAATAATATGTACATTTTTGGTGAGTTTTTTGTGTTCTTAATAGGCATGGAATGCCTAATGAAGATTATGTTTTTTGATTAAAGAAATAATCAGTAAACACACAGCTAGTCATATATATTTGACATTAAATCCTAGTCATATATAGTATTTTGTCTCTTCTATTAAGGGAAGGATTTAGGACAAAAATGTACACACTAAGAGAAGAGAGTTTTTCTATTACTTGGAAAGATGATGTTGAATTAGATTGTTTTTATATATATATAGTAGAAAATAAACCTAAAAATGATTTTAAAAGGTCTGCTTTATTCAATCAAAATACTATTACAGACCTAGTTAATGTTTGAAGTCTAAAACACTGGTAGCACTAGACGCTGGTGAGGATGTACAACAACAGAAACTCACTCATTGCTAATGAAAATATAAAACAGCTACTTTGGAAGGCATTTTGGCAGTTTCTTTCAAAGCTAAACATACACTTACCATATGATCCAACAGTTTTGCTCTTAGATATTAACCCAAAATGAGTTGAAAATTTATCTCCACACAGAAACCTGCACATGAATCTTAATAGCAGCTTTATAACTGTCAACAGTTGGAAGCAACCAAAATATCCTTCAGTAGGCAAAAGAGTAAGCAAACCATGTTGCATCCATATAGTCAAGTATTATTCAGCACTAAAAGAAATCAACCATCAAGCTAGGAGAAGACATAGAAGAACCTAAATGTATATTACTAAATGAAAGAAGCCAGACTGAAAAAGTTATATACTGTATGATTCTAACTCTGTGACCACCTAGAAAAGGCAAAACTGAAGTAAAAGTAGATTAGAAGTTGTTAGGGGTTATACTGTGGGGAAGGGGAGAATATGTGGAGCACAGGGCATTTTTAGGGTAGTTGAAACTATTTTGTGTGATACTTTAATGATAGATACATGAAATTAGGCATTTGTTCAAGCCCACAGAACTATACACTACAGACTGAACCCTAATGTAAACTGTATACTTTAGTAAATAGTATATCAAAATGATTCATCAGTTATGACAAAGTTATCACAAGATGGCAATAATAGAAGAAACTGTATTGAGGGAGGGTAGTGGGGACATGGGCTTCCCTGGTGGCTCAGAAGTTAAAGCGTCTGCCTCCAATGCGGGAGACCCGGGTTCAATCCCTGGGTTGGGAAGATCCCCTGGAGAAGGAAATGGTAACCCACTCCAGTATTCTTGCCTGGAGAATCCCATGGACGGAGGAGCCTGGTGGGCTACAGTCCACGGGGTCGCAAAGAGTCGGACACGACTGAGCAACTTCACTTTCTAGTGGAGACATACATGGTAACTCTGTACTTTCTGTACTATTTTTCTGTAAATCTAAAACTCTTCTAAAAGAGACTAATTAGAAAATTTCCAAAATTATATTTATAGAATTTCTGTTGTGCCTGTTCTCAATCAGATTTATGGAAACTCAAGACTTTCCAGTTTCTTGTTAAAATTAAACATGGAGAGGTCTTTTGAGAGTTTTTCTCAGAATGAGTTCTCATTTATATTTCTACTTTCTGATGTACAGCTAAAATTATACAAAAATATTCAGTAGTTTAAAAGACTTAAAAGGTAGGAACTTAAAAAACCAAATGTTTGGTTTAATAAAAAGTTTTGGTTTAATGAAAATTTTTTTAGAGAAAAACTAAAATAAAGAGACACAGTACTGCTAGGATTCTTGTTGCAGACAATAGAAACCTCACCAGCAAAGTCAAGCATAAAAGGAATGTATTGAAAGCTATACGGTAGCTTATAGAATCCCAGGAGGACCAGATTTGGGGATGACTGTATAACTGGGAATAATATTCAAATCACTTTACTAGACTTTTTTCAGGAGAGAGCATCTGTATCTGAATAATGACTTCAAAGATGCTGAGTGCAGGACATTTTTCTAAGGTCTCTATCCCTGTTGCCTTTTAATATCTTCAGTCTCTCCCAAACTTAGCCATCTTCAGTTCATTCGCTTAGTCGTGTCCGACTCTTTGCGACCTTATGGACTGCAGGACGCCAGGCTTCCCTGTCTGTCACCAACTCCTGGAGTTTACTCAAACTCATGTCCATTGAGTCGAGAATGTCATCCAACCATCTCATCCTCTGTCGTCCCCTTCTCCTCCTGCCCCCAATTCCTCCCAGCATCAGGGTCTTTTCCAATGAGTCAGTTCTTCGCATCAAGTGGCCAAAGTATTGGAGTTTCAGCTTTAGTATCAGTCCTTCCAATGAATATTCAGGACTGATTTCCTTTAGGATGGACTGGTTTGATCTCCTTTCTGTCCAAGGGACTCTCAAGAGTCTTCTCCAACACCACGGTTCAAAAGCATCAATTCTTCAGTGCTCAGCTTTCTTTGTAGTCCAATTGCCACATCCATACATGACTACTGGAAAAATCATAGCTTTGACTAGATGGACCTTTGTTTGCAAAATAATGTCTCTGCTTTTTAATATGCTGTCTAGGTTGTGAATAACTTTTCTTCCAAGGAGTAAGCATCTTATAATTTCATGGTTGCAGTCACCATCTATAGTGATTTTGGAGCCCCCAAAAGTAAAGTGTCTCACTGTTTCCATTGTTTCCCCTTCTATTTCCCATGAAGTAATGGGACTGGGTGCCATGATCTTAGTTTTCTGAATGTTGAGTTTTAAACCAACTTTTTCACTCTCCTTTTTCACTTTCATCAAAAGGCTCTTTCTTCAGTTCTTCTTCTCTTTATGCCGTGAGTGTGGTATCAGTCCTGAATATTCATTGGAAGGACTGATGCTGAAGCTGAAGCTCCAATACTTTGGCCACCTGATGAAAAAAACTGACTCATTTGAAAAGGCCCTGAAGCTGGGAAGGATTGAAGGTGGGAAGAGAAGGGGATGACAGAGGATGAGATGGTTGGATGGCATCACCAACTCAATGGACATGAGTTTGAGTAAACTTTGGGAGCTGGTGATGGACAGGGAGGCCTGGCATGCTGCGGTCCATGAGATTGCAAAGAGTTGGACACAACTGAGCGACTGAACTGAACTGTGATGTCATCTGCATATCTGAAGTTATTGATATTTCTCCTGGCAGTATTGATTCCATCTTGTGCTTCATCCAGGCTAGCATTTCTCATGATATACTCTGCATATAAGTTAAATAAACAGGGTGGCAATATACATCCTTGATGTACTCCTTTCCCTATTTGGAACCAGTCTGTTGTTCCATGTCCAGTTCTCACTGTTGCTTCTTGACCTGCATACAGATTTCTCAAGAGGCATGTCAGGTTGTCTGGTATTCCCATCTCTTGAAGAATTTTCTACATTTTGTTGTGATCCATACAGTCAAAGGCTTTAGCATAGTCAATAAAGCAGAAGTAGATGTTTCTTTGGAACTCTCGCTTTTTCAGTGATACAACAAATGTTGGCAGTTTGATCTCTGGTTCCTCTGCCTTTTCACTAAGCCATCTTCACTAGCCATCTTCACTAAGAAGTATTTCAGCATAGTGGCTACTTTCTTAGGTTTCTCTTTTTGAATCTAAGCCTTACATGAGTGCGTTTGCTTGCAAGAGTCTTTTGCCACCAGTTTGAGTCTTCACCCTGAACCTAATTTTTTGTCCTTATAGCTCTTTTTGGTGTCATGAAGCCGTGTAAATTGGCAGTTGTTTCTAGATTTTGAACAACCTTTTCTTACTCATCTTGCAGTGAATCTCCTGGACTAAATTAAAAAGGAGCAAGAACCTGTTTTATTTTTTTTAATGTACTAACAAATATAACTATATTCATTTGTTCCTCAGCATTCCTTATATAAGTTCTAAAATGCATCCTACTTTTCTTTTTCTTCTACATAATTTCTATCAGAATAATCAAATCTGAATATGTTAATATTGTGTTCTGTCCTTAACAGAAAACTTTGACTGTGAATATGGTCAAGAAAATGATTTATTTATGTCACTATGGATTTTCATATCTAATAATAACTGAAAACTTTATATAATGTAAATATATATATATGACATCAGAAAGACTGTTTTAAAACTGGTCTCTGGATGTGCCATCCTACCTAGATGAATCAGATATAGACTTTACCGTTCCTTTTGTTATCTCATTTGTCCAATTCGAGGAAAATCATTGTTTTGCATTTTTTTCTAAGTCAGGCTATATCTTATGCTTTATTATATGTTACCAAAAGAGACTATGTCAGGTACATTTAAATGTTTTATAAATTAATTATTTAAAAGAAGTATTGTTTAAATTGTTACTTTAATAATAACTGAGTTGGAAAATGCTGATTTGCCTGCAGCATCCGTCTTAAGAGTCTCAATGCCAACACAGATATCACTTCCCTGGCACGGAAGGTGGTTGAGGAATGTAAACTCATTCATCCCTCAAAGCTAAATGAAGTAGAACAGCTGTTGTACTATCTCCAGAACCGCCGTGATTCAGTGTCAGGAAAAGGTAAGTAAAAGAACAACTAACTTTTTAACGCAAAACCATAGCAAAAACCACCACAATATTGTAAGTAATTAGCCTCCAATTAAAACAAATAAATTAATTTAAAAATGAAAAAACAAAAGTTGTTTGACTATAGTTTGTACTTTTGATATTTGAAAGGTGATGGTTTTTTTTGTTGTTACTGTTAATGCTATGACTAAGTGAATGAAAGAATAAACAAACATACTGGTTTCCTACATTCCAGGCTTCCAAAATGATCTATTTTATACTGTGTGTGTGTGTGTGTGTATATGTGTGTGCACGTGCACACACATATGCTAAAATAAGGAATAAAAAAGCAAATATCTATCATATTGATTCTGGAATAATAAAAGGGGAGAATTGAGGCCTGGAAACCTGTTTTCCCCATCCAAGCAACTTATTTATATTTTCTATATTTCTTATTGACAATTAATTGATAATTTGGATTACTGAAGTATTTAAATGTTAAAATATTTGTGATATGCATATGTTTTATGAATCTTTCTTAGGAAAACTTACCTTTTCATTCGTAAACATCTCTATTGTTACTATTCTATCTTTAATTGCCTCATAAAAGAATAAATTCATTAAAATTAGAGCTAAGTAATGATTATTTATAGAAGACATTTTTCCAATGTCCAAGCTCAAAACAAAAGTACAGGTATTTAAATGGAAAGTTATCTCAGATTAATCAATGTTTACTTATTCCATTTCGTAGTATTATTAATGGACAGTCCATGGGGTCGCAAAGAGTCGGACATGACTGAGCGACTTCCACTTCACTTATTAAGTTTACATATATCTTTCTTTTATCATTATGAGTTCTAGAATATGGCACCCTTGACATAGCTTATACTTCAGTTTTGATTGTATTAAGTAGACAAAATGAAAGAAAATTTATTTGCACTTTTTAAAAAATTAAGCAGTTTTTTCTTTCCATCCATAGCAAATAAAATGCCTTGTGCCTAATATGTACTTTTATTAGTTAGCCTTGTATACAGTATATAGCACACATTATATGATCAATATATATTTGTTGAATGAATTGAATAGCTGTGAATTTATTCAAAAGCAAAAATAAGCATTTCAAACTTGATTGTTTCCAACTGCTTAGCTGACATTCAACTCCAACTACCTAGCTGTATACCTATTAATTATTAATAATAAGTGCTATAAGGAAAATATTATTAAAAATTTTTACTTTGTGATAGACTATTTCTGTAACAGTGTTACTGGATGATAAGAGATAGTATCTTCAATAAACTAAGTTCAAAGTGAGAAAAGTAAATCCTGTGCTTTTAAGATGTGTATGTACTTACTGTAGGTTGTACAATATAGTTAAAATTAATCTTTCTTAATGCTAAATTAATATAATTCTGAGGACAGTTGTAATAAAATAACGAAATATCTTTAATGAGAACCCTTTCACTGAGTTTTCAAGGTAAATCAGTCTTCTTACGTCCTTCCCCAGAAATTAGAGTAATATGAGGAAATTTCCACATTATCATAAATTAAAATCATTGTTTCTCTATATAGATACTGATGTTTGGAGACATATATGAAATGCTATGCTATAGCATATCTACATTTATTTTTAGAAATGATTCTATGTTCTTTCTTTTTACTTGATATTCACTATTTCAAAGCCAGAAACCTAGCCCTAAAGGTGGTTGAAATAAAATTATAGTAGTTTTTGATTATGTGATTCTTTACCAAGTCTTTTTTTTCTTTATTTATTAAAACTACTGTTGTATTGAGTTATCTGTTTGAAGAAAAATCTAGCTGTTGAGAAAACATAACTTTGTTTAGAATGGCTACCTTCCTCCAAAAACAATCAGGATTAGTTCCTGTTATATGTAAAGCATTTGCTAATTTTATTTTTTTTTTCCATTTATTTTTATTAGTTGGAGGCTAATTACTTCACAACATTGCAGTGGGTTTTGTCATACATTGACATGAATTAGCCATGGAGTTACATGTATTTCCCATCCTGATCCCCTCTCCCACCTCCCTCTCCACCCGATTCCTCTGGGTCTTCCCAGTGCACCTGGCCCGAGCACTTGTCTCATGCATCCCACCTGGGCTGGTGATCTGTTTCACTATAGATAATATTCATGCTGTTCTCTCAAAACATCCCACCCTCGCCTTCTCCCACAGAGTCCAAAAGTAATTTTAGAATCAAAAATTAATATTACTTGAACTTATTTTAATGTATAGTCATTGCTTAGGTTTTTGATCCAGACTCAGATCAGTGAAGCATTTTTTATATTTTCTTTTAAGAATATGAAGTTCTGCTATTAGTCAAATAATTCAACATAACAAATGACTCAAAGTTATGTTCAGCACCATTAATGCCTCTCTAATCCATTTGGGAGCAAGTGAGGATTAAATTAGCACAAATATTAAATATTTGCCTTTTAATTTATGGTCCTAATTTTGTTTAAAAAATTAGCAACTGTATTTTAGCTTCTTAACTTTACCCAGGTTCTTTCTTTTCCATTTTCTTTGTTAATTTTAATTTTAGTCTTTTATTACCTAGTTCATTTGTTTTTGATTTTCCTATTCTCTCCTTAAATGTGAATTAGGATAAAAAAGAAAACTTAAAATAGACTTTTTGCTTCTTGTTGGCAAGTCTGGCTATTTACATACCTAACTGTTAAACAAGAAGGAAGCTAAATTGCTACCTAACATGACTTGGAGATTATTTATAGATTTTATTAAACTCTCCTGGATATCCTCATTAGAACAAATGTATTATAGATGAGCATTTTTTATACATTGGAAAAAGATTACCTTATAAATTACTCATTTTAAGATCCCCAGTTTGGCTAGAATTAAACTCAGCTGCTGAAAGTAAAAATTAGCCAGAAATCCAAAATCCTGGTTATTCTCATTAAAACAAAATCTTTTTACAGAAAAAAAAGAGAAGTCAAGCAAACCTAAAGATCCACCTCCTTTTGAAGGAATGGAGGTAAGACTGTATTTTTATCTGATAGAGAACTGATTGTAAGGTAATGCTTTTACTGTCAATAGTTCATACAGTTATATTAGACAAGTGTGGAATTTTTAGAAATGGTTGAACTTAAAAGTTCCCAAAAAAGATAGAAAATAAATATTTAATACAGGGAAAAATTATTGGGCGTGTGTTTTTTAGACAGTCTATTTTGATGAGTTGTGAAAAGTATTAGCTATTCTTATTGCAGTGTGTTTTAAAATATTGTTTAATATATTATGGTAGATACTATTTTAAATTACATTTAAGATACTTTATTAATATAAATAGGCCAATTTTAGAGTTTGTGTTCATCCCGTTTTTATCATATGGTTTATGACTATTTTCATATTGAAGTTCCATCACCCAAAGATCTAATCAGTCTCTCCCTGTACAAAAAAATTGCTACTGTGTACAAAAAGATTGCTACTATGAGTCCTTTGAAAACTTGTCTCATTATCAAGGGCAGTGTATTGATCCCAAAATATCATTCCTTTGACAACTCCGTTGAGTGCTTCTGTTCTTTTAGAGTACTTCCTTCCTCTTCCTTTGTTTCAGATTGATGAAGTTGCTAACATTAATGACATGGATGAGTACATTGAGTTATTATATGAAGATATTCCTGACAAGGTTCGGGGTTCTGCTTTGATCCTACAGCTTGCTCGAAATCCTGATAACTTGGAAGAACTACTATTGAATGGTAGAATTTATAGACTTATATCTATAAATAAAGTAAAAAATTATTGTGAAATATGATTTTTAAATTATTATAATAGAGAGGTAAGCTAAAATTATTTATATCAAACTTAGGAAGGTAACTATTTTCCAGCTCTTTATTACTTCCCTTCTTACTCAAATTTCTTAACATGTGGGCATAATGTTTAAATATCCTGTGGAGAATGGACAAATAATTTAAACAAGAAAAATAAAGTCTTAAAGGTACTGAGTGTTTATTTTCTTCTATTCTGGAATACTTTATTCTTTCTATTAAGATATAAAATCAGACCTTTGACAATTGCACGTGTATGCTTTCATTAAATTACAGTTCCAATAATTTTTTAAACAGCACAGCCAAAAATAGTACTCTTGTAAATTTCATTTAGCTTGACTTTGATGCCATGCGTTTGCTTTCTTTTCACTAGAAGTGCTAGGCAATAAAGAAAAAGGAGATACAATACTCTTAAAACTTTCTTTCTTGGTTATACCACTGAAGAATACCACTATAGAATTATTATAATTTTCTGATTATACTTTTGCCAAAATTAAAATATAGAAGATATCATTATGATCTGATTTCCATCACATGATAATACCTTTTTATCTATTACCAAACTCCTTTTATGGAGGTGGTCCAATGCACATCAGTACTTTGTAGCTTGGACAAAATATCCTGGGATCTGTCCAGAAAGTCATAGGATATTACCAATATTCCAGTTAGGAAATTTGTACATTCTAAGTATTTTCTAAATTGTGCAACTCATATGTTCATATATTCTTTTTAAGGAATTAGAGTATTACAGATAAAACCCCTTTGACCGTTACTCTATAATCTGTTAGGAATTTGGAGTTCATTCTTCCAGATCTTTTCCATATTTTTGCACATATATATGTAGAGGATTTTTCCTGTGTTAAAATATAGAGTGAATTTTTATGTTAGTTATATCATATTTCTTACTTGGTAATTTTTTCTCCATGCAGTAATGTTTTGAGATTACATGCATATAGCTATATACAATGTTAATTAGTTTTGAACTACTTTTGATTATTGTATTTTATGAAGTTATATACATATTCTTTAGCCATTCCCCTACTGATAGTTATTAGGCTTTAAAATTATGTCTTAAAATTTCCAAATTTTTCAATAGGAAACTTCAGTGAACATCTTTGTTCTTATTTATATGCACAAAGCAGGGGTTTTTTAGTGTGTGTACACAGAAACAAAGGTTATACAGAAATACAGGTTGTAATGTCTTAAGGATATTGTTGAATTGTCCTCCAAAGTGTTTATGCCACTGTATTTCCAGACCCATGGAATATGAAGGCTATAAAACTTAAACATTTTTGCCATTGTGTTGTTGCTAACAAACAGTATCTCTTTGGTTTAAGTTGTGTTTACCTGTTTTCTAATGAATTCGATCTTTTTCTCATGTCACTAGACTTTTGGAATTCCTACCCTGTGGAGTTTGTATTTATACATACATGTGAATATATGTGTATTTATGTATAAATATACATCCTTTTATATATATATACAGTCATCACTCAATATCCACAGGGGATTGATTCCAGGGCCTGCCAAAGATACCAAAATCTGCAGATACTCAAGTCCCATAGTTGGTCCTCCATATGCTTTTCTTCTGCATCTGTGGATGCAACCAACCATGGATCATTTACAGGTTACCGTTGAACAACATGAGTTTGAACTGCCTAGGTCGACACATGCATATGTAAATTTAAATCCATTTTCAAGTATAAATGGACCTGTGCGCAGTTCAAACCCATGTTGTTAAAGTGTCATCTATTGATATATATCCTTTTTCTTTTAAGTACTTACAAATAGTTACTTTCAGTCTATTGTCTTTTTTTTTCCTTGACATATCTTTTTCCATTCTTTAACTGTCACCCTGTTTGTATCTTTGAATTTGAAGTGTTTCTGTTGTAGATTAGATATAGAGTTGGGTCATACTTTTTTTTTTTTACTATATTTGAATAATCTTCCTTTTGATTGGCATGTTTATTCTATTTACCATTAAAATAATTACTCATAAAGTGGGATTGTCATCTAACATACTGTTTGTTTTCTGTTTATCTTGTTTTGATCTTCTGTCTCTCCATGACTGCCTTCTTTTATGTGAAATATTTTCTTGTATTCCATTTTAATTCTTTTGTTGTTAATTTACTATTATGTGTTTTCCTGAATTAATTTTCTTAGTAGTTACCCTGGGATTACAGATACCAACTTCAATTTTAAAAATCTAATTTAACTTAATGCCAATATAATTTTAATAGTCCATAGAAACTTTTCTTCAGTATACCTCTGTTCCCACCCCACATCTTTATACTATTAATTCATACTTATTACATCTGTATATATTATCAGCCTGTCAGCAAGAAATATAATTATTGATGTATGCATTTTAAAATCCAAAGAAAATAATACAGTCAAAAATATGTTTACAATTCTTTTAGATACAGAGGGAGTTACCTTTACTGGTGTTCTTTATTTCTCTGTGTGGATTTAAGTTACACTCTAATGTCCTTGTACTTCAGCCTGATGGAATCTCTTTCGTATTTCTCATAAAAAAGGTCTGCTAACAACAAATTCTCAAAGTTTTTTTTTTTTTCTTTTTTTTAGTAATCTGACTATGTCATCCCTCTGGCTTTATGTCTCTGTGGTTTCTGATGTGAAGCCAGCTGTTAATCTTATTGAGGACCCTTTGAACACGTTGAATTGCTACTTTCACTGTTTGCTTTGCCTTTGGCTTTTGCCAGTTTGACTATGATGTCCGATGCTTTGTGACCCAAGGACTGTAGCCCACCGGGCTCCTCAGTCCATGGAATTCTCCAGGCAAGAATACTGGAGTGGGTAGCCATTCCTTTCTCCAAGGGATCTTTCTGATCTCGAGATCAAACTCGAGTATTCTACATTGCAGGCAGATTCTTTACCATCTGAGCCACCAGGGAAGCCCTATGGTTAAGTGGTGGTATCTTTTAGATGATCTTGCTTGGAGTTTGTGGAGCTTCTTGGATATGCAGATTATTTTTCATCAGACTTAGAAAGTTTGGGCCATTATTTTGATAAGTATTTATTCAGCTCTTTCCTCTGTATATACTTTTCTCTTGGGACTCCCATGTTAGTAAGCTTGTTGATGTCATATATGTCTTTGAAGCTCTCTTGATATTTTTCATTTTTTTTCCCTTTCTGTTCAAGACTGGATAATCTTAATCAACTTGCCTTTATACTTGATTTTTTTCTAATTCTCAACTGTAGTTAAGACCTTGTAATGACTTTTTCATTTCAGAGGTTGAACTTTGCAACCTCAGAATTTCTGTTTGGTTTATCTTGTATTGTTCGTATCTCCTTATGGATATTCTTTCGGAGAAGGCAATGGCAACCCACTCCAGTGTTTTTGCCTGGAGAACCCCAGGGACGGCGGAACCTGGTGGGCTGCTGTCTATGGGGTCGCACAGGGTTGGACACAACTGAAGCGACTTAGCAGCAGCAGCAGCAGCATTGATGTTCTTTGGTGAGACAGCATTCTTATACCTTCTCGTATATCCTTTAATTCTTTAGACATTATTTCCTTTAGTTCTTTAAATATATTTATAGTGACTTAAAATAATTTAAAATCTTTGACTCATAAATTCAAAATTTGAGCTTCCTCATGGATTGTTTGTATTCAATGCTATATTTTGTGAGTTTGGGATATACTGTCCTTTTTTTCTTTGCATGTATTGTGTTTTTGTTATTGTTGTTGAAAGAATATTGTAGCAACTCTGGAAATCAGAATTCCACTCCCTTCTGGGCTTGTTATTTTTACTGTTTGTTTTTTTAATGATTTTTCTGGGTTAATTCTATAAAGTCTGTATTATTTGTCCACTGAAGCCTCTGCTCAGTTAGTTTAGTGGTAACTAATGATTTGATAGAGATTTCTTTAAATGCCTGGAACCAAGTGTCCTAACCTTTGCTGAGGGGCTCTGGGTATGAACGTATGGGCAGGAGGATGTCTTCAGTGCTCAAGCAAGTAGTTTACAAACCTTAGCCTTTAATTGCTGCTTGAATATGTGTCAGTGTTGGCTAGAGATGAGAGATTAGGCTTTTTTAGGGCTTTCCCTGATATGAGGACATTCCTGCACATGTGCCTGACCTTCTAGAGTACCAGGAATATGTTGGAGGCTTGCAAAGACCCTGTGAATATCTTATTTCCCAGTTTTTCTTTTCAAAGTGTCTCGGTCAGCCTCTTGCTAATTCTAGTTGGCTAGGCTGCTGCACGTAGCTATAATGTTGCTACTAGTAGCTTACAGCAAATGCCCTGGTACAGTCTCTGAGTCAGGTTAAATAAAGCCAACCCATAGAAATGGAGCTTTTCAGCAAGCATCCTGATGTATCAGGTATTGACAGTTCACCAGAGTGCAGACTTAGGGGAGGACCACACTGTTCTGTCTCCTCCAGTTGCTGCTGGCCTACTGTTTTTCACAAATATGATGCTCTTGGTTTTCAAAGTTTCCACAAAGTTGCATGGAGGGGATGGAATTAGGGCAAGTTGAAATGCCAGAGTTCACTGTTTTTACCAAGTCAGCCTATTTCTCAGGTAAATTCTTCTCAAATTGTCACAAAACTACTTAATTTCCAGATCTAAAAAAAAGTTGATTTTGAAAAGTTTTACCAGTATTATATTTGCTTATGGAGGAGTGGATTTTTGGAGGTCCTTAGTGCTTGGCCCCAAAATTCATTTTTGTTGAAAGTGAGCGATAGAGGTGTAATTTTTTTTTTTTTTCCATGTTGTATAGCCAGTTATTCTGATGTACTTATTGAATACGCCTTCTTTTCCCAAAGATTTGAAATGCCTTTTCTATTATTAATATAGGCTGGCCATTCTTTATTCAGTAGATACTTCTTGAAAGCTTATTCTGTGCCAGGTACAGCTCTGATATTATTCATAGGGGTGTTTTGATGCTCTGTTTTCTTTTCTATTGATCTATTTGATCATTTCCATTCCAATATCATACTATTTTTGATACATTTTGTTTTGTACTTTGACTAGAGTTTTAGAATAAGTAGGAGGCATGTTCCAATGTGTTGATTTTTTTTTTAAGTGTTGTTGCTGGCCTTGTACGTTTTATTATATATTATTTAGCAATCACTTTATTATATTCTCTAAGAAAATCATAATGAAATTTTAATTGTGATTACATTCAGCTTATAAATTAATTTGGTTTTTTTTTTAAATATTTTGTAAGCTTTCTATTTTCTTCTGGTTTATTTCTTCATTACCTGTAAATAATTCCCATAGCTGTAGTTTTTTTGAGACATTTTTCTATTCCTCAGTTAAGAAGAAAAATGTTAAATTCAAGACATTATAGCACATCATTTTCCAAAGTGTATTCTAAGAAGTACTGAATCCTCTGGATAAATAATGATGAAATGCCTTTGGTAATACAGGATTAAACAAAGCTAAACCAGATTCTTTATTAAGACTTTTTAAAGCTTTTACATATTATCTATTTATTTGACTTCAGAATAATTTTGTTCAAGGCCTGTATTATACTAGTGCTCTGGTAAAGGAATATAAATATGAGTATGAATATGAATAGTATCATGAAATGCTACTATAGGATATTTTTCAGTTTGTAGAAAAAATTCCTCACTAAATAGATTACAATATATAGTGAATTCTTATTGTTCCATAATGTGAATGGCCAAAAAGCTCAAATAAACTACTTTTATTAGCATAATAAATACTGATAATATAGTTCATAGTATATCCTGCATGCCTATTATAGAAAGTTGAATTATGATCTCTATATAATACACAGGTATTTCAATTTTTAATGATTTTAAGTCAATCATTAACAATACTAATTTGAAACTATTCGCATTACTGTATGTTTACTTAATGTATAGTAATTCTCATTAATCAATTCATTAATTTGCCATTTTAAAGCAAAAGGCCTAACAGGGATGTTTATCAGTCTAGGCTGAAGTTTTGGGGAAGATTTTTTTGCTCTATTTATGCTTGTTAGCATCAGCTTAACATGACATTAAAATATTAGACTTATTTTTCAGTTTATAAGTTTTGTTTGATTATTAATTTGCTTCAGTGAAGCTAGTGCTATCCTGCTATAAATTGCTCATTAATTTTTTAGACTTAAGCTAGTTTTTTTTCCTTACAAATACATTAAATCAGATTTTAAAAACCTGGCACTGCAGTTGCAAATGGAAATGAAAATTAAGAAATTAATGGTTCTTTTCATTATTTCTTGTCATTAATAGTACTCTTATTTTGTTACTTTATTTATTATAAATTAACTTATTTGTTAACTTATTTGTTACTTTATTATTATATTTTATTTTTCTGTTTATGATAATAGACTTAAAGTTGCATGTTGTGAGTTTTAGTATTTAAATTTTTAAGATAGCTTTCTGTGTTGGGAAGAAGCATCCTACTTTTTGTCCCAGTTCTATCTTAGCTTTGTTATTTATTGATAAGTAGACATTTAATACCAAGTACCCTTTCTATCAGAGTTGGTTCTGAGTGATCATTTTTGTTCATCCCCTTTTCTTTAGATACTGCCCTCGGTGCATTAGCAAGAGTCCTGAGAGAAGACTGGAAACAAAGTGTTGAGTTAGCTACAAACATAATATATATCTTCTTTTGCTTTTCCAGGTAAGTGTGAAAATTAGGAAATAAAAGTTCTGATATATATCTCTCTCTCTGTCTGTGTCATTGCTTTGAATAGTAGATCACTAGTTTTGTCAGTCTCCTATGTGTCTAACAGTGCTCTGCCTCTCAGTTTCTATTTTCCATCCTCTGTCCCCTTTGTTGTTCTGTCTTTCTTTCAGTCTACAGTCACTAAGCATGTGCATGTGGAGTAGGATAATATAATGGTATAAAGTTTAAGAGTTATGGGCTTTGGAAATAGACTCTCTAAATTTGAATCCAAATCCTGCTGTTTTTAGCTGTGTGGTCTTGGTTACAATACTTAACCTTTCTATGCTCGGTTTCCACATCTGTAATTTTGGAAAGTAATAGTAGCAGCCTCTTCAGATAGGTATTAGAAAAAAGCTTGACCTAGAGTAAGTGCCAGTAAATGTCACTGTTCTATATACAGTTGACCCTTGAACAACATGGGGTTGAACTGCACAGGTCCACTTGTATGTAGTTTTTTTCACTAAATATGTACCACCATACTGTATGAATGGTACTAGTTGAATCTGTGCAGAACCACCAGTATGGAGAACCCACTATAAGTTATATGTACATTTTTGATGACCCAGAGGGTTGACACCCCAGTCACTGCATGATTCAAGGGTCAGCTGTGCTTGTGTACATCCACTATATATGTTTGCAAATGCGTTCCTGTTATGTATTCATGTATATCATTTATAGACATTTATTCTTTAGAAGGATGCTTATTGAGGCAATGTTAAAAGTTTCTGACTTTTCAAAAATTCTACGGAATTTTTGCCTCTGTTCTAAAAATATGCCAGCATTAGCAAATAAGTATTTACTGAATAAGTACTTGGATGAGTAAAGTGCCTAGGAAACATAAAACGTGATTGTTAATACTTCATTAGTTTATTTCCTGGCATCAATAATAGTACTGTTATATTACTAGTTTTGTTCAGTGGCAGTCTGAAATTTTATTTTGAGGATATCTAAATAGTTAAAATGGTGGTTAGTTGCAAAAATGCATTTTGTTCAATTTTTAACTTAAAAATAATTTCATATCAAGTAAAGATTGTATTTTAAAATATATTTAAAGTAATGTCACAATTTCAAGTCTTCCTAGTATACTCTGGATATGTTCATTTATTAAAATATGTATATCAAGTCTGTTTTACATTGTTTGTACCAGTGTTTATCCAAAACAGATTTCCTGAAGCCTCAAAATGTATTCCTTTAAATACATACTAAAAACTCTTCTTTAAAGCTTTTCTCAGTTTCATGGACTGATCACTCACTATAAAATTGGAGCTCTGTGTATGAATATCATTGATCATGAATTAAAAAGACATGAGCTTTGGCAAGAAGAACTTTCTAAGAAGAAGAAAGCTGATATCCTTTGAAGCAGCATTTCACCCTACTGCTGTTGCCCATGAGCTTTGGATAGAGGGGATTTTGTTTTGTCACTCACATTACTTGGAAAAATGCAATAGTGTATTGAAGGTTAAGATGAAGATTGAAATTAACAGAATGAATATATTTTCACATATAGTTTTGATCTTTTTTACAACTTTGATTAGGTGATAAGCTAGAGGAATAAATACTAGTTGTCCTGGATAACTGAATTTGTGAGTTTCTAAGTGGATGTGCTATTATGTCCCCTAAGACCATTTAGTAAGCTGAAGTCTGGCTCACCACTGTTGGCCTATGTAGTTCTCTCTGTGAAATAAGGTCACTTTGATTGGAATGAGTGTGACTTCGGTGAAGAACGTAGTTTTAAATTCTATTTTTGTAATTAAGTGCAAAAATTCTTTTTAAAAATACATACAGATTTGAGATGCCTGTAGAATTATAGAATCCATGAAAGGAACCTTGAAAAATAATCAGTTTTAACCTATCATTCAGTCCTAGAATCTTTTCTGCAACTTCCTTACCAATGGAGTATTAGTCTCTTCTTTAACATGTCACTGCTTATTCTTTAACTCATTCTGTGTTTTGGCATTCTGCTTACTATAATACTCTTTCGCCTAGAGTATCAAAATCTACTTCCCAATAACTTCTATTCTTTGATTCTAGTCTTTCATACTGAAGCAATGTAGAATAAGGATATATATTCTCTTCAATATCCCATTTCTTATATTTAACAATACTGATCATATTTTCTCTACAACTATAATTCTTTTTTTTTTTTACAACTGTAATTTTTAATTGAAGGCCCAGACTAATTCACATGTCTTCATATGACATGTTTTACAGATGAACAAGCTGTATTGGTCACTTTCTTTTGAACCCAAAATTTATTGATCTCTTTTCAAAACTAAAAATATTGTTTCTGTTGTGCCCAATATCTCATGTTTTTACCTCCCCTTGGTAGGATCCCCAAGTCACTATAAAAATACAACCCCCCCCACACACACAGATTTGACTTTTCTTAATTAGGATCTTTACGGGTTTAGACATTTTCTATGCGTGCTCTAACTTTCTGACATCTAGATTGGTATTGACTTAACCCATGTGGATAACTTAATAATCCTAGAGGCCATAGTTAATTTCTTGAGTCCCAAGTTTACTGAATGTACCTAAAATTTCCAAAAATTGAGGGGAAAACTGTTGTCATGCAAGTAGCATTCAACAAAGGGGATGTTTTTTAATGCTTGGGGATCCTGAAGTCATACTGCAGTAATTGGTTATTTCTGCAGGTGTGCAGGGGACTGTCTGGGGTTATAACATATAATTTTAAAGTGTCTTTCTCTCGCTTTGGGATATTTTATTTTTGTATGTAGTCTGAAGAGGGTGCCAACAAGCTTTAGATCTAATCTACATCCTTTGAATATACTAGACATCTGTCTGAAGTAGAAATCACTATCCTTATCAACTGAACCATTCTTTAAGGCTGTAACCTTTTTGGTTCATAGACCCACTTTTTAATCTGGTGAAAGTTGGAGACTTGTGCACATTTATAAAATGCATACAGTTTTTGAGGATTTATGTATTTGGTGAAGCCTAAACATGTGGTCACCCAAGGTCTGCAAGCACATCCTTGAACCCTAGGTTAAGAAGTTCTAGTCTAACACAATTATTGTGCAGAGTAGAATATTTTAATTAAACTCATGGTTGCAGAAAATAACTGGATAAAATTGCACATAAAATTTAATGGTTTTTCAAAGTGTTTTTCGGTAGGTTTTCTTTGCTTCATTGGATATGGATGATCCTTAACTTGTTTACTTGATGAAGACCCTGAAAACCAAACCTTGAGAAAAGATTATGAAAAAACATTTAAAAAATACCAAGGGCTTGTGGTAAAACAGGAACAGCTGTTACGAGGTATGAATACCTAAGCAATGAGAATGCAACAGAGTGTTTACTGTACATTTAGTTTGTTTATGTTTGTTAAATGAATAAAGCTAATGTCAGAATAATTGAAAATTCTATGAATCTTAATGTGCTACAAAATCTTCTTTTTAGCATTGATATTAATGTTTCAAATTTCACTCCACTATCTTTCCACCAAAAGGTCCCATCCAGTTCTTAAATGTATAAATTATATTCTTGAAATTGTTTTGATCAGAACGGATTTTTTTAATCCATTGTGTGACCTTTTCAGTAATAAGAATCTTGTCTCTCAAACCCTACCATATGTTTCTTATATGGTGACAATTTTGTTGCTTTCCTAGGAAACTGATGTAAAACTTTTCAAGATATATCTCTTTAGTAAAAAAAAAAAAAAGTCTCCTTTTCCTAGGGTTTGTTGACAGATTTAACAGTTTAATAATATGATTTCTCAGCCATTGATAAGATGCAAAATCTTGTATCATTTATAAGAAATTACTGCTTTGTAGCTGACTATTGATTTTTAACCCAGCTTTTATTGAGATATAATTGACATATAACAAACATTGTATAAGTTTAAGGTATACAGTGTAATGATTTGATACACATATATATAGCAAAATGTTCACCACAATAAGATTACTTAACAAATCCTTCATCTCACATAATTACCATTCTGTTGTTGTTATGGTGAGAACAGTTAACATCTACTGTCATAGCACCATTCAAGTATACAATACAGTATCTTTACCTGTGGTCACCATGCTATATATTAGATCCCAGAACTTATTCATCTTATAATTGAAAGTTTGTATTCTTTGAATACCATCTCCCCATTTCCTCCACAATACAGCTTCTGGTAACCATCAATTTATTTATTTTTGTGAAGTCAAAGTTTTTACATTCCACATAAAAGCATATAAGTGAGAACCTACAATCTTCCTCTGTCTGACTTACTTCACTTAGCACAATGCGCATAAGATCCATCTTTGTTGACTCAAATAATCAGAATATCATCCCTTTTTATTAATAAATAATATCCTATTCTATATATATATGTTACATATAACATATGTAAGTAATATACAGTATATATTTCATATGTATTATCAGTTCAGTTCAGTTGCTCAATCGTGTCTGACTCTTTGCAACTCCATGGACTGCAGCACGCCAGGCTTCCCTGTCCATCACCAACTTGCTGAGCTTGCTCAGACTCATGTTCATCAAGTTGATGGTGCCATCCAGCCATCTCATCCTCTGTCATCCCCTTCTCCTCCTGCCTTCAGTCTTTGCCAACGTCAGGGTCTTTTCCAACGAGTCAGCTCTTTGCATCAGGTGGCCAAAGTGTTGGAGTTTCAGCTTCAACATCAGTCCTTCCAACGAATATTAAGGACTGATTTCCTTTAGGATTGACTGGTTTGAACTCCTTGCAGTCCAGGGAACTCTCAAAAGTCTTCTCCAACAACACAGTTCAAAAGCATCTATTCTCTGGTGCTCAGATTTCTTTATGGAATATATATTATATTTTATATAAATGTGTATTTCATATCTACTCTATCCATTCATCTATCTATAGACACTAGAGTCGCTTCCACATTTCAACTGTTATGAATAATGCTGGAGTGAACATGGGAGTGCAAATCTCTCTTTGAGATCATGATTTTATTTCCTTTGGATGTATACCCAGAAGTAGGATTGCTGGATCATATTGTAGGTCTATTTTTAACTTTTTGATAAACACCATACTGTTTTCCAGAGTGACTGAACCCAATTTATATTCCTTTCAACAGTACGCCAAGGGTTCACTTTTGTCCACATCTTGTCAGCATTTATCTGTTGTCTTTTTGATAATAGCCATTCCGACAGGTGTGAGGTGTTATCTCAGTGTAGTATTGATTTCATTTGCTTGATGATTAGTGATGTTGAGCTTTTTTCATGTGTCTGTTGGCCATCTGTATGTCTTCTTTGGAAAAATTTCTATTCAAATCCTTTGCCCATTTTTTAATTGAGTTTGATTTTTTGATGTTTAGTTGTGTGAGTTCTTTATATGTTTTGTATGTTAATCTCTTATCAGATATGTCATTTGCAAATAACTTCCCTCATTCAGTAGGCTGCGTTTTCATTTTGTTAATAGTATCCAATGGTGTATAAAAAAGCTTTTTAGTTTGATGTAGTCAACTTTGTTTGTTTTTACTTTTGTTTCCCTTGCCTGAAGAGACATATTCAAAAAATTATTGTTAAGGTTGATGTTATAGAGCATCTTGCCTGTTTTCTTGTAGGAGTTTTATGGTTTCAGGTCTTATATTTAAGCCTTTAATCCATTTTGAGTTTATGTATATGGTGTGAAAAAGTAGTCCGGTTTGATTCTTTTACATGTAGCTGTCTAATTTTCTTAACACTATTGAAAAAGCCATCTTTAGCACTTGTATATTCTTGCCTTCATTGTCATAGATTGACAATTATTCTTGCACTCTCTATTCTGTTCCATTGATCTGTGTGTCTGTTTTTCGTACTGTACCACACTGTTCTGATTACTGTAACTTTGTAGTATAGTTTGGAATCAGAGTGGAGTATCTCCAACTTTGTTCTTTGTCAAGATGTTTTGGCTGTTTGAGGTCTTTGTGTTTCCATGTGCATATGTGTTTAAAATTGTATTTTATTGTTGGAGTGATCCCTTTATCATTATGTCGTGTCCTCCCTTGTTTCTAGTTATAGTCTTTGGCTTAAAGTATATTTATGTAAGTATTGCTCCTCCATTTTTCTTTTAGCATTTGCATGGAATAGCTTTTTCCATCCTCTCACTTTCAGTCAGTTTGTGGCTTTAGATCTGAACTGATTATCTTGTAGGCAGCATATGTATAGGTCTTGTTTTTATATACAGTCAGCCACTGCATTTCTTGATTGCAGCTTTTAGTCCATTTGCACTTAAAGTAATTATTGATAGGTATGTAAGTGGCTCAGTGGTAAAGAATCCACCAGCAAATGCAAGAGATGCAAGAGAAGTAGATTCAGTTCCTGGGTCTGGAAGATCCCGTGGAGAAGGAAATGGTAACCTACTCCAGGATTCTTGCTTGGAGAATGCCAAAGACAGAAGAGCCTGGCAGGCTACAGTTTGTAAAGTCACAAAGAATCAGACGACACAACTCAGCAACTGAGCATTCACATACATACTTTTTGCTGTTGTTTTGTTTTGACTAGTTTAATTATATTGTGCTTTGGTGTAGCTGGGCTTCCCCTATAGCTCAGTTGGTTAAGAATCTCAATTCTATGTGGGAGACCTGGCTTCAGTCTCTGGGTTAGGAAGATCCCCTGGAGAAGGGAAAGGCTACCCACTTCCAGTGTTCTGTCCTGGTGCATTCCATGGACGTATAGTCCATGGGGTCGCAAAGAGTTGGACACGACTGAGTGAGTTTCACTTTCACTTTGATGTAGCTTTCTTCATGTTTCTTATTCTTGGATTTCACTGACCTTACTGGGAATGTGGATTTATATTTTTTATCAAATTTTAAAAAATTACCAATTATTATTTATTCAGGGCTCCAGAATATTCAGTTATATTAGGTCACTTGAAGTTGATTCCATAGTTCACTGATATCTTTACATTTTTGCTGTTGTAGTTTTCCTTTGTGTGTTTAATTTTGGATAGTTTTTAGTTTTGTCTTTAATTTCAGTAATCTTTTCTTCTCCAGTCTCTAAACTACCATCAATTCAATTTAGTATACAAATCTCAGGCATTGCAGTTTTCATTGCTAGACATTTGATTTAACTTTATATCTTCCATGTCTCTACTTAACTTGTAGAACATTTGAAATACAGATATATGACTTTTAATATTCCTGTTCCATAATTATAACTTTGGTGGCAGTTCTGGGATACTTTCAACTGGATGGTTTTTCTTCCCCTTATAGATTGTGTTTTCTTGCTTTTTAAAAAATAATTAGTTAATTAATTAATTTGACTGTGCTGGGTTTTAGTTGTGACTCATGTGATAGTTGGGGCATGCAGGATCTAAGTCCCCACCAGGGATTGAACCGATGCCCCCTGGATTGGGAGCTTGGAATCTTAGCCATTGGACCATCAGGGAAGTCCCTCCTGCTTTTTTTAAATGGTTAATAATCTTTGATTGGAGGTACTATGTGAAATTTCCATTGGTAGGTGATAAATGTTATTTTATTCCTATAAATATTTGTGAGCTTTATTTTGAGGCATAATTAGATTACTTGGTAACAGTTTAATCCTTTTTGATCTTGCTCTTAAGATTTGTTAGTTTGGACATGAGCGGCATTTAGTCTAAAACTAATTATTCCATACTACTGGGACAACACCCATATGAATATGAAAAATAGGTTTTAGGATCCTTAAATTCAGGCTTTCCAGGTGGCAGTAGTGATAAGGAACCCACCTGCCAATGCAGGACATGTAAGAGAGGCTAGTTCAGTCCTTGGGTTGGGAAGATTCCCTGGAGGAGGGCATGACAACCCACTCCAGTATTCTTGCCTGAAGAATCCCATGGACAGAAGAGCCTGGTGGACTATAGTCCATAGGGTCTTGGAGTTGACATGACTGAAGCGACTTAGCATGTACATCCTTATATTCAGCTCTGGCTATACTGTACATTTTTTTAACATAGCAACCCTTGGGTGTTGAAATTTTACCTTGTTTTCCACATGTATAAAATTATTTTTCTCTATTTTCCTGTTTTATTATTTTCTAATATGTACCTTTAATTGATATTTGATTACCATGAAACTTTCAGCTTGAAAATGTAGGAATCATTGTCTTATTTTGGTTATTGTGTCTTTCTCAGCATCATAAAAATATTATTATATATATGCTATATTTATTATAGCATATATATCAATGTTAATAATTTTGTAATGAATAGCTAGTTAAAATTTTCAAGATAACATTATCTTCTTAGAACTACATCTGTCACTTTAGTGAGTAGAAATGATTTATTAAATTGTTGATTCAATGTGCCAGTTATTTAACTCTCATTTATTTTATTTTTCTAGTTGCTCTTTATTTGCTTCTGAATCTTGCTGAGGATACACGTACAGAGCTGAAGATGAGGAACAAGAACATAGTTCACATGCTGGTGAAAGCTCTTGATCGGGACAATTTTGAGCTGCTTATTCTAGTTGTGTCATTTTTGAAGAAACTCAGCATTTTTATGGAGAATAAAAATGACATGGTAACTTATGTTGAAACAGTCCATGTTCACCATTTTCAAATTAGAATATTTTGATAAAAAGTAAATACATTATCCCCCTATTAAGATAACTCTAAATTAAAAAAATTACAATAGCAGTAATTCACTTAAGTGGCTTCATTAGGAAATATATTTCATATTAATTAATAATCCAGATAATTGAACTTTTCTGAATAAAATATTTTCCTAATATATTACACAGAATGAATCTTTCCATATTATACAGAATGAATCTTTCCATATTAAACATAATATATAGAAAGTAATTTTAACTTTAGATTGTGATTCAGAGTTATCTGGCCTTATTATTTTCCCCTAAATTCTTTTTTCTCCTGCATTTCTGGTATTAGTGTGTGGCAATATAGTTTAGCCCAGCCTCCTCCTTATTTATTGTTCCAGTCGGTAGCTGCAGTCTGTTGATTCTGCTTGATAGATCCCTTGAACTATCCTTTCATTCTGTTACCAGAGCCATTGTATTAGTTAACGCCCTCTTTATTTGTACCGTCTTCATTTCCTTTTGTATCATTACAGTAGGTTCCCATTTGCCATCTTGTATTGATGCAGTTATTTTTGATAAATGGTACAAATTGATCATACATTATTTCTCCAGCTTAAAAGTATATGTAATACAGAAAGATGTAAAGATGGAATAGGGAATTCTCTGGTGGTCCAGTGGCTGGGACTCTTCACTTCCACTGCAGGGGTGCAGTTCTATCCCTGGTTGGGAAACCTAAGATCCCATATGCCACAAGGCACAACAAAACAGTAAATAAATAAAGACAGAATAAAAATTATCTGCTTTTTTTCCATGTCATTAAAGAGTCTTTGTAAGAACGATGTTAGGTTAAAGAGATTATACAATAACCATACCTTGCCTTCAGATGCTTAAGTTGCTTATACTTTCAGCTATTATAAATAAGACTTCAGTGGACACATTTGTACATGCATTTTTTTGTCTATATTCTGTTTGTTTTCTTAGGATAGATTTCTAGGAGTGAAACTATTGGGTCATTGGCTTTAACTTGATTGGAAACTTTTAGAACTATATGCTGTTACAAGTCATTAGGAGACTGTGTCTCCTTCAGGTAGTCTAAATATATAGTATTTCTACCTGTTTTTTTTTCCTTCTTTTAAAATCTAATGAGCTAGAAAATAACTTATGCTTATTGAATGACATGGTATACTCTTTGAATACCTGAGACTGATTAATTAGGTTTATTAAATGTCTTGAATTCTGATACTTGAAATACATGAAATTTTATTTTACCCAAAAATATTTAGCATGCATCATTTTCATCATTAGTTTTGATGATTATTGAAGATAGCTGTGTGTGATACTGTTTTAGGATTGAATTTACTTAAATTAATCAAAAACATGTTTTTTATTTTCATTGATCTTATATTCTAGAAGAATATGACATGGTGATATATTAATATATACTCCTGAGTATAGTTAGAATGTGGCTAAGTATTTGTTTCCCCCTGCTGTAAGTTGAAATATATTCTTCCATTTATGTGTTTGAAATAAGTTCACCTTTAACAAGTATGCACAATTCAAATTGACTTGCCATAAGTATGTATCTGCTATGCACTGCTTTTATTTGTATTTAGATAATACTCTTCTTCTTATGTATTTATTCTACCAAAAGATGATCTCAGAAACATAATGAAAAATCATTTTCTGGTAAAATCATAGATTCAGAAGATACAATATAAATTATCAAATTTCACAAATTATTGGGGAGGAAAAATTGAGGATCAGAAAAGGTAATTCATCCAAAGTCATAAGAATAGTTTGATTGGCAGGAATTTTAGTGTACATGATGTGCATTTCATCTTTCATTGTGGAAAAGAATTCATTTTTCCTAAGTGTATTATATAGAATCAGGATTCTTAGAGCTCAACTAGACCTAATATCTATGTCTGCATTTGTAGATTAACTCTTAATTATAAAGATGAAGTAGCAGAGAGTTAGAGAGGTTAGATAATTGGCTCAAGGAAACATCGCCAGGATTTGACTTTCTACTCTTCCTCTCTGCCTCCAAGACAAAATTCATTTTATGTTACTTTTTAAAATAACATTTTTAGCAAGATGAAGTATAAGCAATTTTTAAATGTTGACTTTCAGAAACACTGAAAAATAATTACTTAAATGCTGAAATAAATTTGCTTATAAGTGTTTGATAAGCTGTCACTTTGCATAGAATTTTTAATAAAAGTACTAATTAACTATAAATTTCATTTTAGAGGCATCAAATTGAGAGGGCATTATTGAGATAAAATTACTAAATTTAGCTTTGGGGATTGGGCTTTATCAATCAAAAACATGATTAGAAGACTGTGTTTAGTTTGCATAAAAAGACCTTTCAATTAATTATTTAAATTGAGTTTTCGTTTTTAATATAAATACAATATGCTTAAAAGGGACTAAGTCATTCTAGAATATGAATTTAAGAACAACATGGTGTCTAGTGTTTAAATATATGATTGTGCTACTTGGCACGTTTTACATTTCATTCTGTGCAATGGAAATACTAATTAATTAAAAAAAAAACTGTCCAAGTTACTTTATTAAGTTTGCTATAACAACCAGTGTGTATTGTGGCTTTTTTGAAAGAAAAATATTACTTAGTATAATTAGTAACAGATGAAGCCTGTGGCAATTTTATTTAAAAAGAATGGAGGGGAGGGATAACTGATCTGTGAAGTGTTCATTTTACTGTTGAAATGAACTAATATTGACCTTGCTTTTGGGGGTTGTGTATTTTAAAGGAAATTTAATTTGCATAAAAAATCTTTCAATTAATGATTTAAATTGAGTTTTAATTTTTTAGTATAAATACAATATGCTTAAAAGGGACTAAGTCATTCTAGAATATAAATTTAAGAACAGAGAGGATATATATTCCTTGGGTTGCATATCTTTATTAATTTTTGAGCCTTGTTTTTGTATTTTGAATATAAGTTTTATCAATTATGTTTTAGAAGTATTTACTCCCTTTCTATGGTTCATGTTTTTATTTTCCTGTGAGGAGCAAAGGTTTTAATTGTTAGGAAATCCAATATATAAAAAAACTTCAATGGATTATATTTTGGTGTTGTATCTAAGAAATCTTTACTTAACTTAAGGTCATGGAGATTTTCTTCAAAAAGTTTTGTAGAGTTTGTGGTGGTGGTGGTGTTGCTTTTGTTTTAGTCTGTGATCCATGCATTTTTAGTTAATTTTACATATGGTGCTTACATATGATTAATTAACTTTACATATTAAGTTAATTTTACATATGATATAATTTTACATATATATCAATAGCCATGTTTTGAATATGGATTTCTTTTTTTTTTATTTTTTTTTTCATTTATTTTTATTAGTTGGAGGCTAATTTATAATACTGCAGTGGGTCTTGTCATACATTGACATGAATCAGCCATGGATTTACATGTATTCCCCATCCCGATCCCCCCTCCCACCTCCCTCTCCACCCAATTCCTCTGGGTCTTCCCAGTACACCAGGCCTGAGCACTTGTCTCATGCATCCAACCTGAGCTGGTGATCTGTTTCACTATACATAATATGCATGTTTCAATGCTGTTCTCTCGAAACATCCCACCCTCACCTTCTCCCACAGAGTCCAAAAGTCTGTTCTGTACATCTGTGTCTCTTTTTCTGTTTTGCATATAGGGTTATCGTTACCATCTTTCTAAATTCCATATATATGTGTTAGTATGCTGTAATATTCTTTATCGTTCTGGCTTACTTCACTCTGTATAATGGGCTCCAGTTTCATCCATCTCATTAGAACTGATTCAAATGAATTCTTTTTAATGGCTGAGTAATATTCCATGGTGTATATGTACCACAGCTTTCTTATTCATTCGTCTGCTGATGGACATCTAGGTTGCTTCCATGTCCTGGCTATTATAAACAGTGCTTCGATGAACATTGGGGTGCACGTGTCTCTTTTAGATCTGGTTTCCTTGGTGTGTATGCCCAGAAGTGGGATTGCTGGGTCATATGGCAGTTCTATTTCCAGCTTTTTAAGAAATCTCTACACTGTTCTCCATAGTGGCTGTACTAGTTTGCATTCCCACCAACAGTGTAAGAGGGTTCCCTTTTCTCCACACCCTCTCCAGCATTTATTGCTTGTAGACTTTTGGATAGCAGCCATCCTGACTGGCATGTAATGGTACCTCATTATGGTTTTGATTTGCATTTCTCTGATGATGAGTGATGTTGAGAATCTTTTCATGTGTTTGTTAGCCATCTGTATGTCTTCTTTGGAGAAATGTCTGTTTAGTTCTTTGGCCCATTTTTTGATTGGGTCATTTATTTTTCTGGAATTGAGCTGCAGGAGTTGCTTGTATATTTTTGAGATTAATCCTTTGTTGCTTCGTTTGCTATTATTTTCTCCCAATCTGAGGGCTGTCTTTTCACCTTGCTTATAGTTTCCTTTGTTTTGCAAAAGCTTTTAAGTTTCATTAGGTCCCATTTGTTTATTTTTGCTTTTATTTCCAATATTATGGGAGGTGGGTCATAGAGGATCCTGTTGTGATTTATGTCGGAGAGTGTTTTGCCTATGTTCTCTTCTAGGAGTTTTACAGTTTCTGGTCTTACATTTAGATCTTTAATCCATTTTGAGTTTATTTTTGTGTATGGTGTTAGAAAGTGTTCTGGTTTCATTCTTTTACACGTGGTTGACCAGTTTTCCCAGAACTACTTGTTAAAGAGGTTGTCTTTTTTTCCATTGTATATCCTTGCCTCCTTTGTCGAAGATAAGGTGTCCATAGGTTCATGGATTTATCTCTGGGCTTTCTATTCTGTTCCATTGATCTATATTTCTGTCTCTGTGCCAGTACCATACTGTCTTGATGACTGTGGCTTTGTAGTAGAGTCTGAAGTCAGGCAGGTTGATTCCTCCAGCTCCATTCTTCTTTCCCGATTACTTTGGCTGTTCGAGGTTTTTTGTATTTCCATACAAATTGTGAAATTATTTGTTCTAGTTCTGTGAAAAATACCGTTGGTAGCTTGAATATGGATTTCTAATTGTCCTTGCACGATTTGTTGAAGAGACTGTCCGTTGTCCACTAAATTGCCTTTGTACCTTATTGAAATGCCTTTGTACTGTTGTTGAAAATCAACTGCCCTATGTAAGTGTGATTTTATTTTTAGATTCTTTTCTGTTCCACTAATTTGCTTCTATGCTTTTGCTGATGCATGTTTGTCTTGATTACTGTAACTTTTGCAATAAGTCTTGAAATCAGTTAGAGTGAGCCTCATAAGTTCTTGCTGTTTTTCAGAATTGTTCTGGCTACTTCAAATTCTTTATCTTTCCATATATACTTAGAATCAAGTAGTCTGTTTGTTAAAGAAAACAAAATATCTTGGAATCTTGATTGAGATTGAATTGACTCTATTGGCAGGATACAGTGTGTTAACCATATTAAAGTTCCCAATCCATGAACATGGTATAACTCTCCATTTTTTTAGGTCTTTCTTGATTTCTTTCATGATTTTGTAGTTTTAAGCATACATATTTTGCCCATATTTTGTTAGATCTATACCTAAGTGTTTTACCATTGTAACGATAGTTGCTAAAAAAGAAAGTATCAGTTTCCTGAGTGTTGAATGATAGAATATAGATACATAATTTGTGGATTGACCTTCTTATGTCTTGAGACATTGCTAAATTCATTTTTTACTTGTGGCTTTTTGACCTGCCCACCTCTGGGTTTACTTATTCTGGCATTAGCTATGTCAAATCTACTAATGAGCCCTTTGAAGATTTCCTACGTATGTGTTTTAAAATTTAATTCTTTTTGTGTCATTTTTTTCTGTGAGATACTCTGTCCATTTACCTGTGGTTTTCATCTTTTCCAGTAGAGTCTTTAACATGTTAATCATAGTTATTTTAAATTATCTGTCTAGTAATTATACAAGTCATATCTGAATCTGGTTCTGTTGATGGCATTATCTTATCAGTGGGTTTTTTTCTTGCTGTTTTGTGTATCATATTTTTTTTGTTGTTGAAAGCTGGATACTATGTGGAGATTAGTAGAGAGTGAGATAAATGATATTTATGTATGGAAATGGTCAGACCTTTTTTAGGTTTTTAATGTTGGGACTTAAGTCATTTTTGTCAGGAGTTTAACTGTTTGGTTACCCTCCAGGCATCATCAGCTTCAAATTCATCCAGCATTATTTTGTCTTTGGTGGAATATTGATTGCCAGAGGATTTTTCTCAGGTGTTCATGTTCCACCCTCTACTTCAGGCTTTTGCAGTATGCCTGTACCTCAAAGAGAATCTTCCTCTTCATTTTAACTCTCCTCCAGTAATATACTGCTGTTGTTTGTCACTTGGCCTTGTTAATTTGTGCCAGGAGCGGGGAGGAGGAGAGAAGAAACTTTTTCCATTGTTCTAATTTAGTTTCAGGCTAGTTTTAGGCTTGTCCTGTGTCCATGATTTTCAGCAGTGGGGCTTCCTAAGTCATACTGTCAACTTCTTTCCTCAGGATATTTTTTCTGTTTCCTTCCCCTTGCTGCAGTGGGTCTTCACTAGTGCTTCAGATGTGACAGGATTTGCCATATTTCCCTGAATCTTAAGTCTTTTGTCTTTTAGGAGAAGTAGGAGAAAAAAGATCTGAACAAGAGTTTGTGCATTTTCCTCATTAACAGTAATGCCTCTTTCTTAGGCCCATGCCTCTGTGTGGAAGTTTTCTACCATCTTCTGTCCTATCCCTAGTATTTCTTGTGACCGTCTAATAAGGTCCTTGGAAAAGAGTTTGCAAGTGATTGCAAACTCCCTGAGCATCTATAGCTTCAGAGTTCTGTAGTCTCAGGCTGCTTCACATTTGGCTAAACTATTTGTTTTAAAACTTTTTGTTCAGTGTTCCTACTGAATTCTGTGGTAGCCCTCTTTTTCTTCTGCGCTCTGCTCCATATAAACCAGTGCTCATGACCCTTATCTCCTTGGGTATGCATATTTTCCTTATATTTCAGACCAATTGATTTCCTTGCAGCCTCAGCTCTGATGCTGTTTTATTTTTTAAGTTGTGATTTTGGAGGGAGGCGGGAGGAGGGATCGGGAAGGGGAACACATGTAAATCCATGGCTGATTCATGTCAATGTATGGCAAAAACTACTACAATATTGTAAAGTAATTAGCCTCCAACTAATAAAAATGGGAAAAAAAATAAACTAAAATTTAAATTAGTTAAATTATGTAAAAAAAAAAAGTTGTGATTTTGTATTTGGGTTTTTCTTACAGTTAGAGTAAAAACCACATGCCTTCTCAGTTAAGAAACATTTGTTGAATGAATAAATAAACTGAAAAAGAAGTTATTCACTGTAATCATAGAAGCTAGTAATAGAATTACAATTCTGTATAACATGACAAATACTTGTCACTGGCCTAAGTGGGAATTATTGTGTGGCATTAACGACTGAATCCCACAGCCTGTTTGGACGATTAAGCTGGGAGAAAGGGAGAACCAAAGTTAGAGAGTCTTTGGAGACGAACTTGTACTTCTTCATGCAGAGCTCTAGGATATGACTGCAGTGTGTCCATGGAATATAGATACACGTCTGAAGGAAAAATTGTTGTTGGATTGTCAGTTTACCATTAAAAATAATTGTTTACTCCTTGGCTTAGAATGAAAGGAAAAAATTATATTGAGGCCTCAGTTATTAATGTGATTTTTATGAGATCATTGAAAATTTGCACTGGAGATATGGGAAGGATAGTAGAAATAGATGCTTTCAGTTCACTTCAGTCGCTCAGTCATGTCCGACTCTTTGCAACACCATGGACTGCAGCATGCCAGGCCTCCCTGTCCATCACCAACTCCTGGAGTTTACTCAAACTCATGTCCATTGAGTCAGTGATGCCATCCAACCATCTCATCCTCTGTCGTCCCCTTCTCCTCTCGCCTTCAATCTTTCCCAGCATCAGGGTCTTTTCAAGTGAGTCAGCTCTTCGCATCAGGTGGCCAAAGTATTGGAGCCTGGTGGGCTACAGTCCCTGGGATCATAAAGAGTAGAAAACAACTCAGCACACAGATACACAGATGATCATTGTCTTTGTTATTGCTGTTTGCTGCTAAGTCCTGTCCAACTCTTTTGCGACCCCAGGGACTGTAACCCCACTAGGCTCCTCTGTCCATCAGATTTACCAGGCAAGAATATGGAGTGGGTTGCCGTTTGCTTCTCCAGGGGATCTGCCTGACCCAGGGATCAAACTCGCATCTCCTGCTTGGCAGTCAGGTTCTTTATCACAGAGCTACTGGGGAAACCCTATCAATGTATTTACCAGAGAGCAAATTATTATACATTGTTTAAACTTTGGTTTCAAATTTAGTCTTTTCTAGGTAACTTATAGTTCCTTCCACATTGTTTCTAGAGTACTTGGTGCATTCCACATTTATCACATTGCATTTTAATTATTTGTTTCATTTCTGCTCTGTTTTTAGACTGGAATCCTTAAAAGCCAAGACAGAATCTTGTTTAATCTAGGACAGGCACTTATTAGGTGGAATTCATAATGTGCTTTCAAGAACCCAAAGTAATTTGTCTTCCAGTTGATGCTATGAAATAAGAGAAGGAAGGGATGAACTGGAAATATGTATTTTCTCCCCAAAAGTTTGGTTTCAGAGAAGTTTACAGATTAAAATGAGAGAAATAAACCCATATTACTTATACATATTCATGAGGGTGAAAACAATGAAAAGATAATTCTTTGTAATCTTTTTTGTCTTATTGTATAATAGAGACTGACTGCATTTGTATTATTATTTCTATAGGTGGAAATGGATATTGTTGAAAAACTGGTAAAAATGATACCTTGTGAGCATGAAGATCTGCTAAATATCACCCTCCGACTTCTACTAAACCTGTCCTTTGACACGGGACTGAGGAATAAGATGGTACAAGTTGGACTGCTTCCCAAACTCACTGCGCTCTTAGGTATGCTTTTTAAAAATTGATAGTGCTGCTTGGAATTTCCAACATCACTGGAAAATTTAAGTCTGTCTTGAAAAGTCTGCTGAAAAAATTGTTCTGTGTATGTTCTTTGATTAGGTACTTAATTATTAAGAATGGATGAAAAATGACCTGTGCTAGGATTTCCATGGTGGTATAGAATGAAATGAAATAGAAACTTTTAGCTGTTTGACTTCATTTACCCCTGTGAAAGTGAAGCCAAAGTGAAAATATACTACCATGGGAGCAAGAAGGAAAAATTACCCTCTCTTCAGCATTTTTTTAAAGTAGATACTCTTTGAGTTCTTATATTTTGCCATACCTTTAAAATACGCATTACCAATACACAAGCCTTTATGGAGCCTTTCTGTCATTAAGTAGAAAAGGTCATTTTTATATAGTGTTAGTTAGAAAATATTACATTAGAGGATTCCATTTATACATCATTTTCTTTTAGCTTTTAGCAAGATACCTATATAGCAAAGGTGGATTCAAGAGTTAATGCTTTTGTGCTCAGACATAATGCTTCTTATACATAATGCCTCTTAGTACATAATGTTTCTTAGCAGAGTATTTAAAAACCCTTTTTGGTCTATTAAGTGTCTGTCTTTATAGGCACCTGCTCCTCCCCAGCATATGCTTTATACCTTGTCCATACTGATCTCCTTACCATTCTCTCAAAAGTTCTTTTATGCCTAAGTGCCTGTCCACCTGCCTTTTTCCTCCACCTGGAATGCCACTGCCTTTTTTAACTAGAAAGCAAATTTTTACTCAGCTTTCATACCTGTTTCTTTGTTTAGCACTGCAGTTTCATTTGTAGCTTTTTCCATATATTCAAATATTTTTAAGTAGTGGAATAGATGGAATGATTTAAAATTGAGTTTATTCTTAGTTATCTAAAATCTGTGAATCTACTTTCTCATTGACTTCATCATTATTTTTTTACAACACTAGAAGTAAAATGTATTGAATGTGTACTTTGCCAGCTATTTTGCTTTGTGCTTTATACATTATCTTGTGGAACCCTCATCTGAGGATTTACATTTATATCCATTTATATACATTTATTTCCATTTACAGTGGATAAAAGACAAAGCCCAAATTCAAACTCAGGTATATCTGCTGCCAAAGTTGGATTTATTATCTACTATAATAAGCTACAGTGTATAATTATATTAAGTCAACTATGATTAAGTAGACAGGGAACACTATAATTTAAAATCTCAGCTCTCCAAGTCCCTTTGAAAAAAAAGTTTTAAGGAAATTTATTTCTTACTTTCTTTTTCTCAGAAAAGGAAAACTTTTAGTCTGTTGGTCAAAGAACATTTGATCCATTGGCCATTCCACAAATATTGCACAGAGCTTTGATTATGCATTTTAGAAGAAACTCTTACTGAAGAGCATTTTCAGAAACTGCTTATGGGGAATCAAAGCAATACTACTATTTAGTGAGGAAACAGCAAAACTTTAAAAGTAAAATGGGTGGAACTCGAATTTAATTTATATAATCCTTTTTTATCATAAATTCAGCAGAATTATGTATCAAATATCAGGTTAGATTCTTAATGTATGAATATGAATAAGTTACAGTCCCTGTCCTGAGATAATTCATAGTCTGTTTGGCTTGTTCAGTATCCAGTCAACTTACTTCTAGGAAACAAATGATTTAAATGAGATTTTTGGGAAATTACTCATAGGATTCTCATTTCATATTTTATTCAGTTCAGTTCAGTTCAGTCACTCAGTCATGTCCGACTCTTTACGACCCCATGAATCGCAGCACGCCAGGCCTCCCTGTCCATCACAAACTCCCGGAGTTTACTCAAACTCATGCCTATCGAGTCTGTGACGCCATCCAGCCATCTCATCCTCTGTCGTCCCCTTCTCCTCCTGCATATTTTATTAACAAGTAGTAAATTTTGACATGTATGAGATATTCAGTACAAAAAATATTCTTTAATCTCTCCTGGAGCTCATTTCTGGAGTCAGACTGTCTTACTAGAATTGTTACTTTTTTTACTTTTTAAGAATATTACATTGGGCAGGTTACCCAAACTCTGGTTTGGTTTCCTCATCTCTAAAATGAGGATAGTAATTATAACCAATTTAAACTTATTTTGAAGATTAAATGAGCTATTGCATGTAAGGTGCTTAGAATGGTACCTGACACATAATATTTTCTTAATAAATATTAGCTATAATCATTTTATTACCAACATCATCATTGTTATCATTTAATATAAAGTGGACATTCTGTAAGTTGCTCACTTACCTTTCTGTAAGCACAAGTTTCTTTCTTACAGATATTAAATCATTATTAACAAACAGGGTAGATTATTTTTACTTCCCTGTGATATGCATGTTTATTCAGTTTAAGTCATTAAAATGTTGCTAATCTACTAGGGCAGAGCATAATGCTAAACACTGTAGAAAATATTTTTCTATCTATAGACATTTTGAAATTTAAAAGAAAGAATGTGTCCATATTGTTACTTCATTACAATGCCATTTGAGACAAATATTGATAGACTTATCTCTTTAACAAGATGATATTTACAAAGGAAGGAAGAATAGAGGCTGTAGAAAGAATTTCAGATAAAATGGTCAGTATTACCTAAGGCATAGATGGTGCCAGATAAATATGAGAAACAATGACTCAGTATATAGTGGGAGATAAGTTTGAAAAAATGGGTTCCTATACATTTATGTGGTAGTATGAAGCTTAAGGCTGTGCTAAGAGTTATACTTAATATAGTTGATGATAGTGATCATTACAGGATTTTGAGCTAGTTGGGTTGTAATCAGAGTATTGCCCTAGGGAAAATAATCTGGCATCATTCTATTAGATACACAAAAACTAAAGTCTAAAGATGAGAATAATAGCATGTTGTGGTAGCAGGACAAGTGAAGAAAGCCTCAATTAGGGAAGAGGTGATATGTCAGGTATGAGGCAAAAGGAAAGGGTAAAGAGACATAGTATCATCGTTCATCATTCAGTCACTCAGTCACGTCCTGCTCTTTGCAACCCCCATGGACTGCAGCAAGCCAGGCTTCCCTATCCTTCACCATCTCCTGGAGCTTGCTCACTCATGTCCATTGAGTCAGTGATGCCATCCAATTATCTCGTCCTCTGTCGTCCCCTTCTCCTCCTGCCTTCAATCTTTCCCAGCATCAGGGTCTTTTCTAATGAATTGGCTCTTCAGCAGGTGGCCAAAGTATTGGAACTTCAGCATCAATCCTTCCAATGAATATTCAGGGTTGACTTCCTTCAGGATTGACTGGTTTGATCTCCTTGCAGTCCAAGGGATTCTCAGGAGTCTTCTTCAAAAGCATCAATTCTTTGGTGCTCAACCTTCTTTATGGTTTGACTATCACATCCACACATGACTACTGGAAAAACCATAGCTTTGACTACAAAGATCTTTGTTAGCAAAGTAATATCTCTGTTTCTTAATACGCTCTCTAGGTTTGTCATACTTTTTCTTCCAAGGAGTAAGCATCTTATAATTTCATGGCTGCAGTCACCATCTGCAGTGATTTTGGAGCCCGAGAAAAACTCTGTCACTGTTTCCATTGTTTCCCCATCTGTTTGCCATGAAGTGTTGGGACTTGATGCCGAGATCTTAGTTTTTTGAATGTTGTGTTTTAAACCAGCTTTTTCAATATGTAGAGTACATCTTACAAAATGCCAGGTTGGATGAAGCACAAGCTGGAATCAAGACAATTAAGAATTATCAACAACCTCAGATGTGTAGATGACACCACCCTTAAGGCAGAAAACGAAGGTGATGAGGTGAAAGAGGAGAATGGAAAAGGTACCTTAAAACTCATCATTCAAAAAACAAAGATCTTGGCATCCAGTTCCATCACTTCATGGCAAATAAATGGGGAAACAGTGATAGACTTTATTTTCTTTAGCTCTAGAATCACAGCAGATGGTGACTGCAGCCATGAAATTAAAAGACGCTTGCTTCTTGGAAAAAAGCTATGACAAGTCTAGACAGAGGATTAAAAAACAGAGACATTACTTTGCCAACAAAGGTCCATATAGTCAAAGCTATGGTTTTCCCAGTAGTCATGTATGGATGGAAGAGTTGGACCATAAAAAAACCCTGAATGCTGAAGAATTGATGCTTTTGATCTGTGGTGTTGGAGAAGACTCTTGAGAGTCCCTTGGACTGCAAGGAGATCAAACCAGTCAATCCTGAAGGAAGTCAACCCTGAATATTCATTAGAAAAACTGATGCTGAAGCTGAAGTTCCAATACTTTGGCCACCTGATGCAAAGAGCCGACTCATTAGAAAAGACCCTGATGCTAGAAAAGATTGAAGGCAGGAGGAGAAGGGGACGACAGAGGATGAGATAATTGGATGGCATCACTGACTCAATGGACATGAGTTTGAGCAAGCTCCAGGAGATGGTGAAGGACAGGGGAGCCTGCTGTGAGGCAGTCCATGGGCTCTCAGAGTCAGACATGACTGAGCCGCTGAACAGAAGTTAATAGAACTCTGCATAGAAGATAAATAAGCAGGGTGACACTATACAGTCTTGACTTACTCCTTTCCCTGTTTTGAACCTGTTTATTGTTCCATGTCCACTTCTGACTGGTACTTCTTGACCTGCATGTAGGTTTCTCAGGAGGCAGGTAAGGTGGTCTGGTATTCCTATCTCTTGAAGAATTTTCCACAGTTTGTTGTGATCCACACAGTTGAAGGCATTAGTGTAGTCAATGAAACAGAAGTAGATGTTTTTCTGTAATTCTCTTGCTTTTTCTATGATCCAGCAGATATTGGCAATTTGATCTGTGCTTCCTCTGCCTTTTCTAAATCTAACTTGTACATCTGGAAGTCCTTTGTTCACATACTGTTGAGCCTGGCTTGAAGGAATTTGAGCTTTACCTTGCTAATATGTGAAATAAGTGCATTTGTGTGGTAGTTAGAACATGCTTTGGCATTACCCTTCTTTGGGATTGAATGAAAGCTGAC